GATAGGGGACACCAAGGAAATAGGCAGGATTTTTGCCCTTAGAAAATATATATGTAAGTTGGGGCACCTGGGTGGCTCAGTGGGTTAAAACCTCTGCCTTTGGCTCAGGTCATGATCTCAGGGTCCTGGGATCGAGCCCCGCATTGGGCTCTCTGCTCAACGGGGAGCTGCTTCCTGCTTCTCTTCCTCTCTCTCTGCCTGCCTCTCTGCCTATTTGCGATCTCTGTCTGTCAAATAAATAAATAAAATCTTAAAAAAAAAAAAAAAAAGAAAATGTATATGTAATTCAGGGGGAGAAACTGGCTTGTACCTTAAAGCGATGAGGAATAATAATCGAGTCTTCATCTGTGTGGCTCAGTTTATATGTCAACAGCCTACTCTTTCTCTGGCTCCCTCCGTCTGGTTTTGGTATTCATAGACCTTCATCATCTGGTTTCCCACTCATATCCCACCTCACACATTTCTCTCTTACATTCTATGTTCTTGGAGCTGGCTTAAGAGGGCCCCCTGGGAGAGTCAATCACTAAGACTTTCTAACATATCACTAGAAAGCTAGCAAGGCATGGAGAACAGAACTGTTAGGACCCCTCCGGGAGAGGACATTATGTGAGGTGCCGCGATAAACTGCTAAGGGTTGGGAGTGATATCCTCCACACCCACGCTTAAGGAACAGTAGAAGATTTCTGTACTGCTTCCTAAAGAAAACATGTCCACCTAACGGCGGAATTTTGTATACCTGGGTCAGGGAACAAGGAACTGACTTCCCTGGGACAATTGAGAAGAGGGGCTACATCCTGCCTTCAGAGGGCTCTGGGCTTCTTTCAAAACAAACTTAAAAGAAACCAGTTGGAAGGGGCACCTGATTCATCAGTGAACTGAGAGGGGCTGTCTCTGGGCTACTACCTGGAGTTCTTGGGATTTCCCCTGTTATCACATCTCTGTGCTTTTGACAGTTTTGGCTGGAATCATCCCACTGATACTCTATACCAACTTAATTTGAAAACTCAACAAAAGCCATCGTCTCCTCCAGAAGATCTTCTTGGACTCTCAACTGTATTCTGGCCTCGCTTCGTCTGCTTTAGATGCCCAACCTTTGTGCTCCCACAGCTCTTGATGTACATGTCTTATCAGAGCACAGTGTTATAATAAGCTACGAGTGGGCCTGGACCCTAGGGGAGAGGGCGATAACCTCCCTGATTGGTGTGGGTTGTGTCTCATTTTTCTGTGTACCCCAGCATCTCTACTAGCTCCTGGCCATGTTGAATATAGCATTCTCTTTTTAAGACTAGGGAAAAGAAAAACTACTGAGCAGGTCTAAGTGGTTGGTTTCATAGCAGAAGACTTGGATTGAGTCTTGATCAGTAGGTAAGTAGAATTGGAAAGGTCAGGGGCACAATCTTCCTGCCAGGAGAGTGATTCTATGCATGAATCTGTTAAACAGTAAAAGACACAAGCCCAACTGTGATAGGCAAAATATTTTTCTATATATCTAAAAAAATTTAACAAAGTCCATTTCCTTTTTCTCAGTCCTTCCCAAAAGATATAGTCCTTCCCAAATGATATCCCAAAAGTCCTTCAGAGATATAATTATATATATTATAATATATTATATATATCACATAAGTATAGTATATAATTATATACAAATATATAAATATATAAAATAATATACAAATATAATTAGGATATAGTATAGATAGGTTATATTTTAAATAAATATGTATTACATAATATATAATATCTATTACATAATATGGTATGTAATTACATAATATGGTGTTTTATAATGATGTAATTATGTAATTATATATTACATATTATATATTATTACATTAATTAATATAGACAGAATCCTTGGTTGCCGTTCTGGCTAGGAAATGAAATCTTAGAAGGCTGCATGAATTCAGAGGAAAAGGTCTTTCCCATTACATCTCTCCCCTCCAACTCCCCCCACAAAATTCCTAAACAGAGAGATCTTGCTCAGGGGATATGCACAGCATGAAGTTGAAATAGCTACAGGTTAACCAGAATAAGTGGGCTCTTAACCCCTCTTCCCTTCCCACCCACAGTTCTCAGCTTCCTCCTGGTGGCATGTCCCTTGAGCCCCAGTTGAATATTATTTTGCAGACAATGAAGGGGTTTACTTTAGAGATTGGTGTTCAGGGCTGTTATCTGGGCAAGTAGATGGAGGATGGAGAGTACTGAGCAACATCTTCTTTACCAGATTTGGACATGGTTATTCTGAAACAGAAAGATATCAGCTAACACCACTAGCCAGGCCAGAGTTTTCTGTTTCTTGACAAAGAGTGAAATAATAAATACAGCATTGCTGTGAGAGATTTTATCTAGGAGAACACCTTTTAGACCACGCTCGCAGACAGAAAATGTAATATCCATACTTTTAAATGGCTTTACCTGCATCTTCAATTCTGAGCAGAAGTGTTGAGAAAGCCAACCCTAGGGCCTACAAGAAACTTAATGGTCAAAACCATTGTCAATTAAATGGATCATAGACCTAAATGTAAAGGCTAATATTATAAAACTTCTAAAGGAAAACATGGGAGAAAATCTTCGTGACCTTAGGTTAGCCCAAGACTTCTCAGATTCAACACAAAAAAGATAAACCAGAAAAGGAAAAATTGATGAATTGGATTTCAACGAAAATTTAAAAATTGCTCTTTGACAAATATGTTAATTGTGCTGATTAATTCATTCTAAATATTATTAAATGTCCATTATGTTGGGCACCTGGCTGGCTCAGTCAGTTAAGCATCTCACTCTTGGTTTTGGGTCAGGTCACAATCTCAGGGGTCGATGAGATCGAGCCCCCTGTTGGGTTCTGCAGCTCAGCAGGAAGTCTGCTTAAGATTCTCTCTCCCTCTCCTTCTGCCCCTCCCCCTGTTTGTGCTCTCTCTCAAATAAATAAATAAATAAGTCTTTTAAAAACATGTCTATTATGTGCCAATACCCTCTTTCTAGCTAAATTATGTCAATGAATTGAACTCTGTTATACTGAACTATTGCAGGAAAATGAACATTTTAGAAAAGTTTTCAACAAAGAAAAACACAAAACAGGGAAAATTTCATTAACTAAAACATCTCTACTGTATTTTTCAAATTTGCCATTTAAATGCATGGGCAGGATCCAATACCAGTTAACGATGGGGAAATGCTGAGAAATAAGAATGTGTAATGCCATTTGGAATTTGTTGAATCTTGTCAAGGATCCTGAAGATTTGGATGTGAGACCAAGAATAGTAGAACTTCCCAGGGTGATCTAAAGCCATACTTCACCCCATATTGTTTATTATACTGTGAGACTTCAGCGTCCCTCAGACAACCCCAGATTTGAAGACTACTTCCTTCTACCAGCTGTAGGATTCCAGACTGATGCAAGTGCCTACCTTGTTGAGTTGTTGTAAGGATTAATGAGGTAGTAATTGTGATGTGCATAAGTATGTCTCAATAGAAACTCACTAGATGATGATGTTAATGGTGATGATGATGATGATAAAATCCAATCAGCTTCCAAAAGTTGACCGGGTCTGAGCAGCTCACTTGTTACTTTTAAGAAATGTACCTCCTCCCCCATGATAGCCTTAGGGTCTTTGGGAGGAAGGCGGCATTTCCATTCCTCCCCTCTTCAAGTGCCCAAGACAGGTATCACTAATCAACCCACTGTAGCACTCTTCAGTTAGGGTGGACTGGGTTTCAAATGCCTCTCAAGGAGGACACATCCAATCATTTAGAGTTAGTGCTAGAGATAAAATGTATCTACCATTCCTGATTTAAGGGTTCAGCACACAGCTCCAACAGACCAGGAGGAGTGACTATAAGCTTATTTTTCCTATGAAGGTAAAGGCCCAAGTCAAGTCAAAAAAAAGGTGGATGACCAGGGGTTCTAGAAGAAGCTTAGTCACACTATAGCACAAATTTATTTCCTAAACAATCAGTCACTGATTAATTTGTTTTTTTAGTTAAATTATGTTCTTCACTTATTCTACATTTGGAAATAAACTTTAATCATTTATTCAATTCCCAGGATTTCCTGAAAGTAGATTTTTGACTTTTCAGATCTTAGAGGCACATAACCCCCATCACACTTTATTTTGGGGGAGTTTTCCTTGTTTGTTTTATTTCCCCCCTCATTGTAGTTACAGATGTTTTTCCCTAGGTTAAGAGGCCCTTGGGCTCTAGCTGAAAAGCCAATAGCTCCAAGAGGCAGAAAGAAAGAAAGCCTGTAAAATCCATGGACTTTACATATCTGGTGGACTTTTCCATATCTGGTGATATGACTCAGCTAATGGCAATGACACTCAAAGGGGCAGAACCATCCTTAAGGCATGATTCTCATGTTGGCTACAAAATACAATCAATTGAGCGGTTTTTAAAAAACCTGATGACCAGACAGGGCCCTGACCAATTATGTTAGTGATCGTGCAGATGCTGCCCAAGTATCAGTATTTGAACAAAGCTCCTCAGGTAATTTTAATGTGCAGCCAAGGTTGAGAAACTATTGTCCTAAGTTGTTTTGGAAATTTGCAAGTTACTCCAATAGCCCAATAACTGGGGTGGAGGTGTTACTGGTATTTTCTTGGCAGAGATATGGGTTAGATGTTTTTGTAATGTCTTATAATGCCTAGGATGGTTCCCCTCCCACCTCCCAATGAAAAATTGCACTATCTGTTGAATGTCTTACTGGATATTGACGTAGTTGAAAAAATTTTATGATCTGGAACGTAACTCTACCATACATAGAAACACAAAGTATTCTTTATATGTTTTTAGTTAACATGCACTGAATTTTCCCAGAATGTAATCAACATATAAGTCAAGGTAGAATTGTACTTTATTCTGTTTAGAACTTTATGAGGAGTTGCTCACGTTGTCTGATAATCATATCACTGTTGTCAGCACTACTTGTGGTATTTGAGTAATTACCATTTGTTGTAGAGGTTTTCCTTGTGATTCAATATATAGATGCAAGCATCTGATTATCTCATTCTCCTTTACATATTGCAATATATCGTACTTTATTATAATAAACCTTCATGTCATGTCTCTTTCTGCCAAAACACTGATTTCCAAATATTGTGTGTTAGGGTGGGTTATATAATTTGTAAATTTCATTTCAGGAGAGCAAATGCAGCATTATAAAATTAAGTAAATAAGTAAGTAAATAAATAAATAAATAATAAAATTTCCTATAAAAAGGGACTTTAGGGTCAGTTTGGGTAGAGACCTTCTGATCTAGGGATTCCCTTTGGGATCTGTAATAAGGTCGTCTCGATTTGTGTCTCTGTTTATTCAGCAAGGCCATCCCAGTAAGCCCAGAGATAGGGGTATGTGCAACTTTGAGCAAGCGTCTGTAATGTCTTAATGTCTTAATGTCTGTAAGCTTCAGTTCCCTCATCCTTAAAAATGGCCCAACAAGATTACTTCCCTCATAGATCTACCCGGAGAATTAAATGAGATCAACTTTAAAAAGCACTTAGCAAAGTTTCTGGCATGCAGGAAGCACTGTTCTGATGATGACGACAAGGACGGTGATGATGAGAAATGAAGCAGTACGACTCAGAAAGAGACCAAAGACTCTTTAATCCCTTCCCCAGTCAAGTATGTCATCTCTACACCCTGCTTCCCCGTTTTTCAAAGAACGCTGCCCAGAACAAGTATCCAGAATATTCAGTCCCGGATGGGAACACTTTGCATAACCTCTCCTTCTTCATTCTTTTATTTGTTTTGAGCAGAAACCATGGACAGAAACTTAGGGCATTTTTGTGTGTGTGAGGCAATTAAAGCGTTACAGGTTTTATCGTGGTGTTAGCATTCCAGGAGCCCAGAGACTTTGCACCTGGAGATAGGCAGCTCTCATGGACACTCCTTGGGTCTTTCAAAATGAAGCCAGGCACCACCATTCCCAGTATGCGTGTTTGTCTGCTCCACCCTCTTTTTACTGACTTACCAGCCTTTTCTTCCAGCCGTATCTCCATAGAACCTTGCAAGAGAACTGCTTACTCTTTGGAAAAATCTGAACTAGATGTTCTGTTCTATCTTTCGAACAGAAGGGTCAAGACTCTTCTTTCAGGGGCTGTCTGTAATCTTGAAGCCAGGATCTCAGCGTTCCCTTCCAGTTTCCTGCTCAGCCCTGACTACACTCATCTGGAGCATTTGCTGGTCAGGAGACTCCATCCCCCTCATTCAGTAGAGACACTACCTTTCTGAGTCCATTCAATCTGTGCCGTGCAAACGCATGAGTTTTGTAAGCGTAAGAAACTGGGGGTCTTTGTTCAGAGATGGTCGTCTATGTAATTCAGTTTTTCACTGTGAGGACCTTGAGTAACAGCATGGACTATGCAGGCAGGGGTCTATAGCTCATTGTGGATTTCCAGGTGAAGAAGCCCGGAAAAGTTAACATACTCCACGCTCCATACTTTGGGGTAGGATGACCTACAAACCATTCCCAGTAGAGGAGAATCCATCCCAATGTTAAGGACCCTCCAAAATGAAGATTCCAGAATCAATAACACCATCTACTGTTAGAGTTTGTTCTCACTGAAGGGGAGTTAGTATTTATTGAATACTTACTAATAGCCAGAAATAATAATAAGACTTTTACATTCACTGTTCTTAACTAGTTCTCACAAAAGCCCTTTGAGTTAGGAACCAGGAACACTCTTTCTACAGGTAAGAAAACGGAAGTGCAGAGAGGTTAAGTTCTTTGACCAAACAAGCGGCAGAGTTCACATTCAACTCTAGGCTGTCTAGCTGCAAAGTTCAGGATCTTATTAGCTGCCAGGCTTCAGCTATATTGCTTCACGTGGACATGCTGGACATGCTCCAGTTTATACCTGCTCCTCTGTATTTGCTTCTGCATATCCACTAGTGTCACTCAAAACCCTGGGTTTTACCAGAGCCTCAGACTAACCAGACCAGCACTGTCCAATGGAAATATAATGGGAGCCACAGATGTGAGCCACATTCGTAATTTCAACTTTTCGAGTAGCCACAATTTAAGAAGTAAAAAGAAATGGGTAAAATTAATGTTATGAATATATTTTATGGAAGCCAATAGATCTAAAATGTTATGATTTCAACATGAAATCAATATAAAAATTATTCATGAAATAATTTTCACTTTTTTTGGACTAAGCCTTGGCAACAAGGTGTATATTTATCCTAATGGCACATCTCGGGTCCAGACCACCCCCATTTCAGTTCCTCAAGAGCCACATGTGGCTAGGACCTGCTGAAGTGGACAGCCACCCTAAGCACATAGATCCCAACCTTCTTAGTAATCCCGGTGGCTCTTCAGGTAGTAAGGAAAGCGCGGGGAAGATGAAGAGCATGTTTCCAGTTATTTGCTTGATTTACTCTAAGCAAAACACGAAGAGAATAAACTCCCCAATTTCTATCTATAATTGATGGTTGGCTTACTTGCCCAAGAGCAGACGAGAAGCTGCATGCTGAAAAACTTCAGCATCACATAACATATATCAGGTGTCCTCATGCCCTTAGAGGGGTACTGGACACAACAAGAGGACCAGGAAACCCCAGATCCCTGACCAGAGACATGGTCCATGAAGCCAGCTCACCGAGGGCATCAACTAGGGCCACCATGACTCTCTGGTCCTTCTTCTCCTTGTATTTACTCCCACACCTACTCCAGCTTGAAAGGCAAGGTGTATAAGCCATGCCTAAGAAGCATGGTATAGGCTCTGTCCTTCTTACATTGATCTTGACATCTGGAGAGCAAAGAGAAATCTCAAAACTCTCCTTCCCCCATCCCATGGATAATTCTCAACTTCAGGTGTCCACAGACTTTTGCACTCTTAGAATCACTTAGAATACTTGTTGAAACAGATGGCCGTGCCTTACCCCAAGAGTTTCTGATTCAGCAGATCTGGGCTAGGGACAGAGAACATGCATGTCCAAGAAGTTCCCAGGTGAAGCTTATGCCAGAGGCCAGGGACCACACTCTATGAACCAAGGCTCAATGCTAAAAAATTAATATAGTTAAAATCAAGAACGAATTTAAGAAAAGGCACAGGCACTTTTCTTACTCTTCGTGAAACAGATATGATTTTTACATAATTGATGTGTGTTTGGCTCTTTCTCTGTTGCTCCCCATTATTTCCTCTTGTCCAGGAAGGGATGGAGTGATCATGATGACGGGAGAAAAGGCTGATGGGAAGAAATAATGGAGCAGGAAGGCTGTAAGGAAACAGGAAGTCAGACCACGATTGATCCCCTGACGTTCAGCATAGCTGTGCTCAGGAAGGTAAAGGGCAGCAAAGCCACCCCCCGGAGCCCTTAGCTGGGACAGACGCACAGGCTAGAGGCAAATACACCAAGTCACAGAGACATCTCACACAGAAGTTATTTTCCCCTTTGTGTGTGTGGTTTTTTTTTTTAAGATTTTATTTATTTATTGAGAGGGAGAGAAAGCATCAGTGGTGGGGGGGAGCGATAAAGGGAGACACAGACCCTCTGCTAAGCAGGGAGCCCAACAATGGAGCTCAGAAGCCTGAGATCATGACCCAACCCTAAAGCAGACACTTAACGCACCGAGTCACCCAGGCGCCCCTCCTCTTTGCTGTTTAAGAAGGGAAACTGTGGTTGAACGTCTGGTGACAGCAGGCAGCAGCAAACACACGGAGCCTCGGACACCCTTTTGTGCATGCTTATTCATGTCTAACCTTGCAAGGCACCTAGATTTCAGAAGGAGAGGCAAGAAGACTTGCTGAGTTGCAAGCAGCTGAGAATTTGGAATGCATCTCTGGAGATACACACTGAGCCTCAGAATTTCCAAGAAAACTCAGTGGGAGGGGAGGAAAAACAGGGCAATGACACTATGCCTTGTAGGGCCCGCCTCTGTCTTGCTGATTCGCCCGGAGACTGTGTTCCAGCTGCGCTGGCATGACCCAATGTTCTAGTAAACAAGGAGTGGATGGCAGACCAGATAGACCTCAGATCAGGCTACCCTGGAGCTTTTAAAATAGAACACAGGGGCCCCGCTGGGTGGGGCCAGAGCTGGGGAGTTGCCTCTGCGCATTTCCTCCATCGGGGAGGCACACCCACACCATCCACCAGACACATGTTTACACATACTCACTTCTTTTTCTTTTTTCTTTTTTTTTTTTTTTTAAGATTGTATTTATTTATTTGACAGAGAGAGAGACACACAACAAGATAGGGAACACAAGCAGGGGGAGTGGGAGAGGGAGAAGCAGGCTTCCCAGCCAGGCAGGCACCCCGATGCAGGACTCAATCCCAGAACTCTGGGATCATGACCCGAGTGGAAGGCACCGGCTTAACGACTGAGCCACCCAGGTGCCCCGACATCGTCACTTCTGGTGGGGCTTGGACAAATGCCAAAACCTCAGAGGGTCCAGTCTGCAAGGGTCAGAACTGCTGACCTCCTTCAGGGAACTTTCCAGGAACTCTGGAGCTGGAGGGCGTGTAAAGGGGCACTGACTCACACCAAGTCAGGCCACTGACTAATGGAGTTTACTCTCTAAGCAATACTTCAGCCTTCCGGAAAGACAAAGGGACTGTAGCAGACAAACACCGTCATTCAGGTTATTTCCAGCACCCCCATTTGATGCCATGGCAGAACACAACAGACTGATAATCTTATTATTTCTCCAGTTTATTCTACCCTCCCTGCCTGGAGCTCACATCCATATTTTCTCCAGTCTCTACTTCTGTTTCACAGCCAGCAAGCGGGTCTAAGTGGTACTCAGAGGGGCTTAAGTAAAAGTACGGAGAGTACCCCTGGCTCAGAGAGCGAAATTCTGGAAGTTCCTTCTCTGAATGTCTTCTGCCTGGGGTAATCTAGGGGTCTGTAGCCCAAACCCATATCTAGTTTCCCTCTCCCACCACATTAGTGTGTGTGACAGTCCAGGTGACTAGGGGTCCAAAGAATTTATTATCCACCCTGGGACATCTCTGAGAGGGAAGGGGGCGTGCTTTGAAAACAATCTGGGGACAAAGCTATTAACCAGGACACCTGGCCCCATGCATGACTGGAGGGTCCATCTCTTCTCCTGTGAGTCACTGACACCCTTTCACGGGTCTGCCCTGCCTTGCCAGTGATTTTTTTTTTTCTTTCCTATGACTGATTTGTCCTTTCCCTTTACTGGTTTGGGGCTATTATTCCTTTATTTCCTTCAATAACAGTCATCTGCAAGCAATAATTGCATCTGTATTTTGAAGTGGTGAAAAGGCAAGTTTTGAAAATTCTCCATGTAAAAAGCTGTGTGATCCCATCCTTGGAACTCTGAGAGGCGTCCCCACAGTCTCGATTCTAGGCTTGCTTCATTTGGAACGTTAGTGCCCAACTGAGTATTGTCAGCTTTTGCTCACCAAATGGTCACGCCCCAATTTTTGGACAAGCAAAACAGCGTGAAAACGGATGAGGATTGCTTGAATGCTCATGGCCGGAAAAAAGCCTTTCTCACGCTATTTCCTTGATAATAATGATAACAGAACCAGCCTCCTGTCTCTAGTGTGCTTAAAGCTCCACACACATTGTTTCTAAAGTTTACAGCCATGTTTATTTTGCTGACCGGGGCTCTAAGTCAAGGCCTCAAAGGGGAATTAGCCGGGTATCTGAATCCAGATTTATATGGCCCCAAAGCCCTTATCTGCACTCCAACAGCCCAAGCATCTGCTTTGGCAAACCTGAATTGCCCTCCTTCCCCCGAGGCTGTGGAACCGTTAGACCCTGTAGATGTCAGCCTCCATAGGTGCCCAGGCCCTCCCTCAGAACTGGCCACTCCTTTTCAGTCTCCTGAGCAGCTTTGAGTACCCCATAATGGAGCCTTCCTTACTCCTCAGAAACCCATCTTTCTTTTCCACTGATTGTCCTTTCCCATTCTGGCTGGTGATGATTGCCTTCTCTTGCAAGGCATACCATCTGTGCACTAGACGCAGGAAGTTCCAGAAAGTACTGGGAATGCATGGTAGGGCTTGGGCTAGGAGTCTGGCAATTTTGGCTAAAGTTCAGAGAGGACCCAGTAATAAAATGAGATTTAAAAAAAAAAAAAGACAAAACCCAATGAGATAAAAGGCTTACTCTTTAAGGGTCTAACTAGTCTCCATGAGCAAGACTGGGCCCCAAGCCAGGCTCTCCCAAGCTGAGTTCCTACCAGGGCAGCACTCTATGCCTGGAAGTAAGGAGCATGTCGGCTAAGAGTGGGAAGCAAAGTTGGGGAGACTAGAGGGAGCTCTAATTACCTGTTCCTTCCAAGCACCCTTTCAATCCCAACTGACTTATCTCAGGATCATTCTGGCAGGAGGACATATTTCTCTTGCTCTAAGAGACCATTCCTCACAGCACTTTTCCCTCCTCCTCCTTCCTCTGCGTCCCTCCCCCTCCCCCGCAAACATACTATGGTGGTCCCATGAGCATGCACTTGGAAATCAGACGCGCTTGGGTTTGCTTCTTATTGGCTGTGTGACCTTGGGTATGTTTATAACTTCCACGGCCCTCAGTCTTCCTATCTAAAAGGCAGGGATAAAAGAACTCATAGATTTGTTAAAAGGATTCAAATAAGTAAAGCTATCTCTCACTTTATATATGGTAGTCACCCATAAATAGTTATTATTGCTATTACTCCTATTGCTGTTACTTCAGATTGGTGGAAGTTCTTCCTTCAGAATGAGCGAGCCCAAGAGCTGTGGGAACAGTGAGAATGTTAGAGATAGAGGGACTTTGGCATTCATCTAACCTACTTCTTCACTTGGGAAGGGACCTGAGGTGCAGAGGGTGTTAATTGGCTTGTCCAAGGTTATATGCCTGACTAGTTCCAACCTTCCCATAAGGAAGTTAATTAGTTGGAGCAGCAGAAAGAGCTTTGGGTTTGGAATCAGACACATGCAAACTTGATTCCACTGGCCAGCATGGAGGAAGCCTTCGTTTCTCAACCTGCTTCTGCCTCATTTCCTTATCTGCAGCACAGGGATAGTAGAGCCCACCTTCCAGGAGGGTGGAGAGGACTTCATGGGATAATGTACATCAGGTACCCACTGAGCCTCCATGGCTTGGTTTCCCCTCACATTATTGGAACATTCCAGGGCCAGTTAGGACGGAGCAGGCCAGTAGAAGGAACTCTATGGAGATTCTAAATACAGTGGGCTTTGCTTAAAGATGAAATAGGAACATTTAGGGTTCTGTGTCGATGCCCACATGTCAACTTTACAGTGGGTTTTGACACATTAATGCTGGTAAGACTAAGAGCAGATGGGGAAGATACTCTGTGGACAGACCTCAAACTCCAAAGGGAGGGAGTGAGGGAGGAGAGCTGGGGGGAGGGGGAGGAGTCAGGGAAGATGATCCTGAGGGTTTCCATGGAACTTCCAGAGTATGCTCCAAAACAGTTTTGAAAGCACCTTGGTTTCTAGACACAAATTGTGTTTTGAATTGGCAACACAAAGTAGGAGGTGGCCTTGAGATGGGTGACCATTTTTCAGAGGCGGCGGTTTTGAAATAAGAAGCATAGATCAGTTTTGCAATGGAAAGTGAGTTCCAAGATGGGTTTGTTCCAAGATGAGTATAGACAAGGACACGGAGACACTCCACAGCAGGTCAGTCCCCAAACGATCCAATTACAGGTTTTGAAATGGACCCAGGGGCAAGAATTTAGAAACCTAAAACAGAGAGACAGAGAAAAAGTAATTTTGCAACTAGACAAATGACTGACTCCACAAGAGTCCGCTAAGGAGAAAGAGGACTGGAAAATGCCAACTAGGCAGTTTCTAACTACCCCGGGGGAGTTAGAATGGACTTTGCTGGGACGTATTAGGATGAAGTTGTTTGGGGTCCAAGCAGGGACGATGATATGGTGTTTGCAACTCACCCAGCAACTGGAGGACCTGTGGAATGGAAAGTGGGAACAAGCATCATCCGCAGAAGCACAGAATGTGGCCTTATTTAACAAACAAAAACAGCAGGGAAATTGTTCTGAAGTATGAAATTCTTAAGTACTTGGTGTATGTTTTTGCTATCTCGTATTCCCAGTCCCTGGCAGAGGGCATGGACTCAATGAAATTAATGGCTTAGACTGCCTTATAAGATAATGAGTTCTCCAGCATAGGAGGTATTCAAGTAGTAATCCGTTGGCAGCAACTGTGTAGAGGGTTTTGAGTGTCTTTTGGATGTGACTGGTAACCATTGGGGTTTCTAGCAACCTTGAGATTCTGGGCACCCAGCATAGCACAGTAACTCTCTAAGACAATTGGTTCTGATTTGAACATGGGGGTCCTCATATTGACTGAAGGGAAACAAGAAAGAGCCAAAGTCCTGTCCCAGTGGGAAAACTAAATATTCTTACCCTCCATTTTCTCATCTTGTCTGTGGTCCAAAATCCCTCTTGAGGCGACCTGGGCTTTGCACCCTCACTCCTGCATGAACACAGTCTGTCCTAGAGCATTCTACTGGTCCTCCCTTCTCAGGTCTGCAATGACTGAGGCCACTGGCTGAGCACAAACCCATTCTCTCCACTTCCTGGGCAAACAGTCCTCATCTTCGGGTCCTGCTCCAGTGAGATGTGGCCATGGGGAATATGAGTAGGAGTGACGTACACATCTCACCTCCAGGCGGGCCAATAAATGTCTCCCACTTGGCTGTCTCCCATGCTCTTTCCCTATCTGGCAGCTAAGTGTTGACACCCAGGACAGTGCTGGCAGCTACTGTGGAAGCCCGCAGTGCCCGTAGCTCGCTGGGTCCTCCCCGCACCCTCCCTCCCACTCATTAGACTGTTAGATGAGATAGAAACCTTTATCCTGTTAACTGTTACAGCAACGTGCATATTGAATACAGATGTTCACCTTCTTCCATCTTCCCCTCCTTTTCTCTTTCTCCGATTTTTATTCTCTCACTTGACAAGGGACTCAGAGAGATCCGTGAGGTTATGGCCATGGTCAGGAGAGAATGTGGGCTGGATGAATAGATATGTCTCAAGTGGTTTTAGTCTCTTTCTTCTGCCTGGGATGTTGGTCTTTCAATGTCCTCACTCTTACTGCAGAGGTATGTGAGAAGGGTAGCCAGGTGCAAAGTGTTATAGGTGAGCAAAGTGTAAGCTTCAGACCCTCTTCTCCCTGCCGCAAGCTTCACTGGTCCTCTTCTAGCCTTCCCTGGGCACCAGCTTCCCTGCCCTTCCCCACAGCTTAAGCAGAGCAGGAAAGGGAGGCAGAGGTGCTGTCTTTGGGCTACAGCCATGAAACTAAAGGCTTCGTTCTGGCTTCTTGCATTTCACATCTCTTCTGTGAGGCACCAGCAGTATCACACACAGGAGTGATAATGTGAGGAGTTTGAGTATAACCTACAGGAAAGAAAGCAAATTATAGGTGTAGAGTTGGAGTGCAGCTTTGGCCACTTTAATTTTCCCCTCAACCTTGTTGAGAGATTTTTTTTTAAGATTATTTATTTATTTATTTGTTAGAGAGAGAGGAGAGAGAGAGGGAGAGAGAGCACAAGCAGGGGAAGCAGCAGGTGGAGGGAGAAGCAAGCTTCCCAAATAAGGAGCCCGATGTGGGACCCGACCCCAGGACCCCAGGATCATGACCTGAGCCAAAGGCAGACTCTTAACTGACTGAGCCACCCAGGTGTCCTGTGAGATATTTTGATTCTGGGTCTTCTCTGCTAAAAGACTATATGCTATCTTAGCATATAGTCTTTCTTGTCCTGCCCCCTAAGTCTACAGAAGGTCCTACAGAGTCTGTTTTCTCTTCCTGACTGTGCCATTCCCTTCTGTGCCAAGCCAAAGCCTCTGCCTTCTCCTGAAATGAAGATAGCTCTATTTACCTTGCATCTTGCCCAAGCTCTAAAACAGGCAGACTCTTAATGTCTCAATTCCATTTTAAGTACTGATCTTCTGCTCTGCAATTTTTGGACATTTCCCTAATTAACCCTTTTCGGGAAGCCTCCTCTAGCAGAGGCCGTTATATATTATCTCTTATGTAATCTCTTCTTAGCAGTAGGAGCCCCACAGCTACCTAGAATAAAAGCTATATTTGATAGATCCCCTGACAGGTGGGTGTGTCTGTAAGACTGAGTTCCACCAATGGAGCATAAGCATATGGTCAATCACCATCTTGGGTCATGAAATGACCTTGACAATGGAAGCCATGCTGGGCAGAACAAAGAGACAGAAGGAGCCTGGTACCCCATTCTGGCTCTAGATGGCCAATCTCTAGGCTTTCACATGAGAGAAAGATAATCTTGAAATTTACTGAAATCACCATTTTTTATGGTTTTCTGTCACCTGCAGTCAAACTAATTCAACTACTTTAGCCTCTGACATTAAAAGTTAACTTTCCTTCCTCCCCCTCTTCTCTTTTAGAATCATATTGCATTAAAATAGAAAGGATGTTAATTATTATCTCATCTGAGCCCTTCACTTCACAGTGAGGAAACTGAGGACCCCAGAGAAGGGAAATGACCAGGCTAAGCAAGCTTGAACCTGCTGCCTTGACTCTCACACTTGGACTCCCATTTGCCCTTCATTCACTACCCAAGGAAGAAGGTATTTGCCTATAGCTGGCCTGCACATCATAGTAAAGGGAATGCTGGAAAGGAAAGAGAGTTTCCTATTACTTTCATCTTAAGATGATGATTAAGAACCTACTCCATAAAATGAAACCTGTATGTATATATAAGTACAGAACATATACACACGTGTGTGTGTGTGTGTGTGTGTGTGTGTGTGTGTATTTGTGTATTAAGCACAGTGCTCAGTGGAGCAATCATAATCATGGGAACTAATAGCATGACATTATAAATCTCCATTCATTCTGTAAACATTGACTAAATTCCTGTCACCTGGGCATTCAGCACTGACCAAAGCAGATGGGCATCTGACCTGGAAGTTGCCATCCGCTGGTAACCTGTAATTACTCAAATAAATGCCATCATTAAAAATGGTGGTAAATGCTACAAAAGAAAAGTGCAGACACTATGAGAGAGTATAACTAGGAGTCTAATTTGGAGTGGGAGGAGGTTAGAAAGCGATACTTAACTTGAGACCTAGAGGACAAGGATTAGATGGGTGTTGAGCATTCTGGTCAGCAGGAACAGCTGAGGTAAAGTCCTCTGGAGGGAGAGAAGATGGGAGTGTCTAGTACACCAAGACTATGGTGAGCAAAGGGGGTGGCCAGAGAAGAAGGTAGTGGCACATCACACAAGCCGAAGGGACCACGTTGAGACTTTAGATTTCACCTAAGAGTAATGGGAAAACCGGAGATTTTGAGTGCATAGTGACCCAATGTGACTTATATTGTAAAAAGATCCCCCAGGACCATTAGTTGGGAGGAACCCCCAACTAATGCAATCGGGCAATCAGTCAAAACATTTTTTGAAAATCTTTTATGAGTCTAGTTAATATAAGATAATATAATAAGAATGAATCCCTCCTATTTGCTGGTTGT